TGGTTGTGAGTTCAAACCACGCAAGATTGTGGGTTCAAACCACGCAGCAATCATGTATTTTTGATTTTTTTTATTTAGGTTATTATCATATGAGCTTTTTGTTTATAAGGTTCTTATGTTTTTTTTGGGCTTATTGTTTTAAAGATCAAAATAGTTGTATAAACCCTAAACCTTAATAAGTTCAAACCCAAAATAGTTACAAATGAATCCAAAACGAATAATAAAACAAAAAACAAAAAAAAACAAGTCTCACGTGGTTGCCTACGCGGTTAAAACTATCCTATTATAATATAGCTCAACCCAAAAATAATAAAAAAATAAATCCAAAAACGAACAGACAAAAAAAAACAAAAAAAAGTGAATTCCACGCGGGTGCATACGTGGATGGCTTAATGAGGGTTGAATAATATAGATTAGGAGCTCAAAAAGTTAAATCATTGCACATATTTCCTAATATATATTTTCAAAAAATTTGTATGTGAGATAAAATAAAATAAAACAACAAAAATTAATTATTTTCGTTATTATTTAAATGAATATATAATTTCTCTTACATTTTAATAACTACTATAATTTCAAATTGATAAATCGTTTAATACAAATATAAATACTATAAATATAGAATTATATCAAGTTTTGATCTACGATATAAAAACTATTTACAGCAAAAAAAATACACCTACTTTTACACACTAAAAGCTATATTATAGCCTAACTATTCCTATAAACCTTATTTCGCATATAAATAACATTTAACACATTCCTAATATTTTTCAAAAAAAATTGTATGTGAAATAAAATAAAATAAACAACAAAATTTAAGTAAGTTATTTATTAAATGAATATGTAATTTCTCTTACATTTTAATAACTACTATAATTTCATTGAAAACATTTCTNTAAATCGTTTAATAGAAATATAAATACTATAAATATAGAATTATATCAAGTTTCGACATACGATATAAAAACATGAAATTTTCCATTTCATTATTAATTGGTGTCATTAGAAGAATCCACTAAACCAACAATTAAAAAAAATACACGCAAACATAATGATCCCGGCCCCGCGCTTGCGCGGGGAATATGCAACTAGTTACTGTAAATACTTTCCCATTTTTGGTTCCTATGAAAATGTGAATATGAAAAACATAGTCTAAACGAAACGTCGGTTGCATTAAACTGAGATGCACAGCCGACATAGCATTTGTCGGTGGGAGTAATATCGTCGGTTGCAAAAATTTATTTTATTGTTATTAACTTATTATCATAATCAGAAACTCGACTTAAACTGGTTACATTAACACAAAATCCATACATTATTTAACATCAAGTTGATCAAAAATGACACCAAAATTAAATATATTATAATTAGTGTTGTTAAAGGTTTGCGGCGTTACAAAGCATGTGAATATGAACTGTATGAAGGTTGCCAAAAACAATATATATATATATATATATATACATATGTGTGTACAATATAATACAACATGGTTTTGGTAGCGTTCTAAATTACAGATTGGAGGGAATGAATGATTTGGTGTCGAACAGGCTTGAGTTTTGGTTTTATTTGAGTGTGAAAGACAGACAGATACACACCTAGAAAAGCACACATTGATTAAACATGATTGAGACTTGCTAGCTCATGAAATGCCATTGGTGTTTTCATATTTTTATATTTATTTTAAACTCAACTGTGTTGTCTGATACTGATGAAGGGCCGTTATCGTCTAGAAAGAAGAAAGTGTTTTCAAAGTAAACATGCTTAAGAAAGAAACACACAACATAAAAAAGATATTTTTTCGTTTTGCAAATACAAAGATTGAACAGTTTGAAGATGAACAAAAGGTCACTAACTTCAACAATGGCCATAACAAAACAAACATACAAACAACCACAAAAGAGCTAAAAGAAAAAACGACTAGTCACAATGCCGTTAAACATTAGCTCCTTCTTCTTCTATGTGGTGAGGCATTGAGAGTGTTGATCCCATGAACAAGAACACACCTTTGCAGTCAACAGATTAAACACACAAGGGAAAAGCAACAACCTCTTACGCGTCTCTCATGCTAATGTTTAGACTATTTCTCATAGTTCTTCTCCCAACACCAGCATTTCCCTTTTGCATCATCTCCACAAACTCACCATAGTCAATCTTTCCATCCTGTGACATAAACAATACTCTTTTATCATCTGACGCCTCAGACATTAGTCTTTAGAGAGTAATGTGGAAGCTTACATTGTTTTGATCAACTTCTTTGATGATGTCTTCAAGGAAAACATCAGTCATACTATGTTCAACACACGCTTGTTGTAGCTCATCGATTGTTATGTAACCACTTCCATCTTTGTCAAAGTACTGAAACGCAGCGACTAGATGTTCTTCACGTTCCAGTTTGTTGAGATGGATAGTCGCCGCAATGAACTCGCTGTAGTCAATTGTCCCACTGTTGTCCACATCAGCCTGTTAATACAAGAGTTCGATGTTAGAACAAACAATAATATTTCACTGTCTATGTATGTAGACAAAAAAAGATAGGGTTTGTACCGCTTCCATAAGATCATGGATCTCTGTGTCTTTCAAGGTGGATCCGTATTTCCTCAGCCCAGCTTTGAGTTCATCAAATGTGATTGCACCACTGTTATCAGTATCCATTGCCTGAAACATTTCTCTTAAACCAGCAATCTCTTCTTCTGAGAGACTCTCAGCTATAACCTGATGACACCAAAACAAACAATTTTAAGAGAAGTGATGCAGGGACGATAGAAGATGAAATGGACCATGCACAAACACACTCACCTTCAAAGCCATCTTCTTTAGTTTATTCATTGCAGAGAACTGCTTGAGACGTGACAGAACAGCTGGATCAAGTGCTCTATCTGGTGCAACACCGTTCTCACAGATCCATGGATGACCTGCAAACAAGAGAAGCAACAGTTAGACATAAGTCTAGTGATTGTTGCTAGAAGTAACCATTTTTTATGTGAATACATACGCAAGACTTCATGAGCTGTCAAGCGCTCTGCAGGCTTGGAGCATAACATTCTGCGGATCAAGTCTTTAGCACTGTCTGATATCACAGGCCAAGGGTCTGAATCGAAGTCAATGTATCCCTTCAATACAGCATCAAATATCCCTTGTTGTGTTTCTGATTCCAAAACAAAATAAAGCATACTTCAGGTGAGTGACTGAGACTCTCTAAAGGACAATCCTAAGAAGCAGCCAATCACAAATTACCTGCCCAGAACGGTGGCACTCCGCTTAGCAATATATACAGTATAACACCAGCGGTCCACACATCAGCTTCAGGCCCATAACGTTTGAGCAACACCTCAGGAGCAACATAATATGGACTCCCAACAACATCAGTGAATATCTGACCTGAAAGATCAAACCTAAAGCTAATCAGTTTCATATGATACAAACATCAACTCAGCTTCAAACATTATACCTGGTTTGAAAAAGATAGATAGTCCAAAATCAATAGCCTTGAGGGAGAAGTCATCATCCTTATTAACCAACAAGAAATTCTCAGGCTTCAAATCTCTATGCATAACACCAAGAGAATGACACGCTTCAACAACTCCCACAATAATCTTAGTCAGCTCAGCAGCTTTCCTCTCACTGTAATGCCCTCTCTGAATAATCCTATCAAACAACTCACCTCCAGCACAAAGCTCCATCACAATGTGAACATACAAAGAGTCCTCATAAGCTCCCTTGATCGTCACAATGTTACCATGACCAGCTAAATGGTGCATAATCTGAATCTCCCTTCTAACATCCTCAACATCTTCTTTAGAGATCAGCTTCCTCTTGGATATCGACTTGCAAGCGTAGTCAACACCCGTGGCGAGTTCTGTGCATAGATAAGTTGTACCGAACTGGCCTTGTCCTAGCTTACGGCTAAGCGTGTAGAGATCACGAATGTTTGGTGTCTTGTGACCAAGAACATAGTAAGCTTGGTTGTCTACGTTACGTCTCATGATTGGTTCTTTAGAAGGGATGACAGGAGCTGGATTCTTGGAGTTGCTGTCCTTATTCTCTGAAGCGTTGTTGTTGTTGTTGGTGAGAGATTGGTCGGTGGGAATAGAGCGATCTGAGGAGACGTTGGTGGAGGTTTTGGAGGTATCTTCAGGCTTAGTGTTATTGCCTAGGTAGATTTTGTCTTTAGAAGATCGACGGCATGAATTGCCCATTAAAGACAGAGACTTTCACTCTCTCTGTTCTTCATCCAACGAACTGTTCAATAGATGTCTTTTAAAAACTCTGTTTTAAAGAGAAAACAAGTCAAACCCTTTATAAGATTCAGAACCAAATCTCATTGAAAGTAACGAACTTTATCAATCACAAGAATAAAAACAGCAAAACCCACTTCAGATCAAGCATATCCAGTTAACTAACAAGACAAGAACAAAAAAAAAGACAAGACAAGAACAGAAACAAGTACTACTAAAAAGTCAAACATGAGTTTACTTAAGTTTCAGAAACATAAAAGAGGATCTAGTTATCACTTACCAGTAATCAGAGAAGGGTGCTACTGCTGAGAATGGATATGGATTAGGAATCTGATTTAAAAGGCAAAAGAGAAGTTTAAAGAGAGGAAGGAAGGTCGAAACAAGAAGGGGAAAGCTACAATATTTAATGTTATTTCCACCAGGGTAGCCTACAGTATTATTCGAGATTCAAGTAGAATAAAAAAAAAGAAGTTTTTTTTTAGTTTTTTGTTATTGAAGAGAGACTGTGTCGGACAATTAGATTCGTTGGATGAGAGTTTGTGTGTGTTTAATTTACGGCGATGATTGTGCGAAGAAAGTTCTTTAAGACTGCTGCCTTTTAGTGCTCACCAGCTACTTCTGTCTTCTGACCCTACGCGGTTTCCTCTCACCTTCTTGTCTTTGCATTATTTATAGAATAATGTTTTTGGTATAGATTAGAGAATATTATTTTTTGTTCTATGATCATAAATGATTACAAGTTGATGACCATTGACAAATCCAAGTCCTTTTTTATGTGTGTGTGTGTTCTTCTGTTGTCTTTTTTTCGTCATTGATTTACAACTTCAAGTTTTGGATTCAGATTTATATAATTAAACCCTTATACTAGTCATAGAAACTAGTAGAATATATATTTTTTGGAAAGAATGTAAAATTTATGTCAACAAAAGAAACCTTGTTACAATAGATGTGACATTGTTTTTATTTTTTAAGAGCAAAACTCTCAAATCCGAGTATGTATTTTAGTTGCAACTCTTAAGTCTTTCATTATTGTAAGAATGGTCATCAAAATAACTAAAAAAATTCCGGTCAAAACAAGAGTTGGCTTGGAAAATGACAATATCAATTTAGCATATTCGTGTTTTTTTATATTGGTAGCACATTATTATTACAAGTTTACAACTAGGATATTAGCGGTAAACACGATGTTTTTTTATTTATATGGTCAACAGACTCAACACACTGAGTCCACGGCAAGAAGTTTTGGTTTATCTAGACGCCGCCGGTTCAAGCCAATGGGTTTAATGGTTATGCACTTTGAAGGCAAAATTAACTAAAATACAATGTGTGTTTGTCGTCTTGTCCAGCTCCTCCGAAGAGCTTTATGCCACACAGTTGCAAACAACTTGAGGAGGAAAAAAGATATTTGTAGGAGACATTCAGGCCCGGTTCTAGACTATGGCAAAATGAGCGGTTGTACTGGGTCTATGGGTCCATAAAAAAACATTGTGTTATTTTATTAATTTTAATGGTCCATTTTAAATGATTAAATACTTGGGAAACTTATAATAAAGAACCCATAATTCAAAACTAACTCATATATATGGCAAAAGAAAACCCAAGAAATCCTAAGTTTCACCATTTTTGTATTTTTCTGTTAAACTTTTTTATTGGTTTAAATTAAAGAAATACAATAAACATATTTTTAAAAAAAAATGTTTATAAAAGGATCCATGTTCATTATTTCGCCTAAGTATTTTAAAATGTTCAAGACGGCACTGGAGACATTGTAATAAAATAAAAAAAAACAAAAGAGAGTGTATATGCTTTAAAACTATGTTTTCTCTATAGTGAAAGTCAACATGTGTTGTTTTTGTGATCTCCAAGCCACATAAAGTGAAACTCGTGCAATAGTCTGAGTTGGTTTCTCAAAAATGCTAGTCTACTATATGTTATTAATAATGAAAATATACTTTGAAACAAACCTTAAACAAACATAAGAACTACATCAATAGTACAAAAAAATTATTCTGGTTAGGGAGTTTGAAGTCGATGGACTGAACATGGATCACATGACATCTCTGCATCTTATTTTTACTACTTGAACCTTGTATTTTTTCGGGGAACGATAAGATATGTTAACCTTTTGCGTTTCACAAACAATGTAATGATTCGAAAAAAATAGTAATTCAAGATTTTAGAAATGTTGAATAACTATAGATGTCTTCTCTTTTAACTTGCTTGTGTGTAAATGGTAATCCGTGTGATATTTTCTCTCTCAATTCGTTCTCTTTTCTCTCCTAAAATGCTATGATGAGCAATGGAAAATATCTTAACTAATGAGCATGGTGCGTTTTCCCCTCATTCTACGGAATTTAAGCTGCAATGATGATGAACTGTTAGATGTGGACAGAAGAATCATATATATTCGATTCTATTGTGTTCTTTTATTATGTGGTGTGTACTGTTCTCCACGTACATCAATTTTATTCTACGTCTCCATGGGAAAATTATATATCGAAAAATTCGTCAGCCATAAATACTCGGATACCAATTCGGATACGTATTTTTCTGTTTTCAAAATACATATCAACCTTTACGGTCAAAATATATGAACTTTAACAACGACGTCTACCAAATATACTAGAGATTTCTTTTCAGAAAGCCAATAGTTGTAGTCACTCACATGCATATTTTGTTCAGTCGATAAAGATTTGTTAATGACAAATTCAAATCGTGATTTGTGTCAATAAGAACGTCGAGGGAAACTCAAAATGACAGTATACCTTAGGTAAAATCGTTTCTTTACTGTATAACGAGTTTTTTTTTGTATGCTATTGGAAAATGAATATACGAATCAATGTAACTTTTTATCATTTCTTTCTAACCTTCTAAACTTTGTAAAAATAGTTCAGTAACGCTAAAAATGTTCATCTTGTTATAACATACGACTCACACTATTAGTTAAAGCTAAAGTGTCTCATTCTGTCTGGACAATATTCTCCATTATTGAGTTTTTCCTTTTTCTTTCTTTCTTGGATTAATTATGAAAAGTTGAATGATTCCAAGATGCTTTTCGCATATGTAAACAAACTAAACTTTTACTTTACCAATAACTTTATTTTCATAACATTAGATATTTATCAACCATTTCTCATATGATCCTAATTTTTTTTCATATTTACAAAAACTACCAACCTTATGTCGACCAACTCGTTACTTCCGTAGACATGCATACAAAGTATAATTGATAGATACAATTACCTTGTTACCCCTATAAAAAACCTTAGTTTAATAGTAGTAAATTAGATTTGTACTTCACGAGTGTCTGACAAGACGATGTAAGAAGAAGAGCATGTCGAGAAATGTGAAAATATTTAACGGTGAGAATGAAACGATGTACAAACTCGTGGACCCGTTAAGATTATTACTATTTGGTGTTTTTAATCCTCTGAAAGATTCTGTACACAAACCACGCGAGAGAGAGAGAGAGAGAGCAACAGATACGTGGTTCGAGAAGACAGGAGTTAAGCGGCAGGTGTCGCTAATCCCATAGGCTCTCTCTGTTCAGAGTCCTTTCCTAACTTAAAGTATTAATTTTTTTAAATATAATCTTTAATTTAACCAAAAGGGAAAAGGAAAAAGAATGCTTTTTGATTGCGTAGTGACGCCATTGAAGCGGCTCATCACTGATATGATAGTGTGGCTTATTCCGTGCAAGTTGCAAACCCTAGTTTTCATCTCTCTCTCTTTCTCTATATATCATCACTCTCTACCGCTTGCTTTAGATTCTTCTCTTCTCTTTCTTCTTGGTTTCATTAGTATTTCTTTGATTGTGACACATCTTGGTGTTACCTCTGTCTTTCCAAGCACTTCTCATAGGTTCTGTTCTTTTTACGTCACTTTGGTTTCTTTTCAGTTCGGTTGTTATATGTTCTTAGGTCATGCTTTTTGTTTTTATCTCTCTCTCTGTTCATCTTTTGCTCATAAGGGTTTGTTTAAATTTTTCGACTTTTTCAGGTGGGTTTTGACTCTGTTTTGCGAAATTCGCTTCAGATTTCGTTGAAACGAGAGACGAATTATGAGTGGAGCTGTGCTTGTTGCTGTTGCTGCTGCTATTGGCAACTTGTTACAAGGATGGGACAACGCTACTATTGCAGGTTTTTAATAAGATTCTAAATCCATAATTCTGTTTATGATCGGAATCAAAGTAATAATTTTGATTGTTAAGTGATACAATTCACAGATCCTCTGTTTCTTCTTGCTTTGTGTGCCTTTGCAGGAGCTGTGTTGTACATAAAAAAAGAGTTTCATTTGGAGACTAATCCATCAATGGAAGGTCTAATTGTGGCCATGTCACTTATTGGTGCTACTCTGATTACAACATGGTCTGGAGGAGTAGCTGATTGGCTTGGTCGCCGTCCCATGCTCATACTCTCATCAGTTCTATACTTCGTTGGTTCTCTAGTGATGCTTTGGTCCCCAAACGTTTATGTGCTGCTCTTAGGAAGGCTGTTAGATGGGTTTGGAGTTGGACTTGTTGTCACGCTCGTTCCTATTTATATATCTGAAACTGCACCTCCTGAGATAAGAGGACTGTTGAATACGCTTCCGCAGTTCACTGGCTCTGGAGGGATGTTCTTGTCTTACTGTATGGTTTTCGGAATGTCTTTGATGCCATCTCCTAGCTGGAGGTTGATGCTTGGTGTCCTCTTTGTGCCATCACTTGTGTTTTTCTTCCTCACAATCTTCTTCTTGCCTGAGTCTCCGAGGTGGTTAGTGAGTAAAGGTCGAATGCTTGAAGCAAAGCGTGTTCTTCAGAGGCTGCGTGGTCGAGAAGATGTGTCAGGTTAGTGTTTTAGCTATGCTATTACAAACTATGAGAAATATTACAACAATTTTAGATTACTCCTTTTGTCTCTTGAATGTATTCATGTGGAAATGCATAGGTGAGATGGCTTTGTTGGTTGAGGGACTTGGGATTGGAGGTGAAACAACCATAGAGGAATATATAATTGGTCCTGCAGATGAAGTAGCTGATGATCTTGACATAGCTGTGGATAAGGATCAGATTAAGCTGTATGGTGCTGAAGAAGGGCTAAGTTGGGTTGCTAGGCCAGTCAAAGGAGGAAGCACTGTGAGTGTTCTGTCTCGCCATGGAAGTACAATGAGCAGGAGGCAAGGCTCATTGGTTGATCCACTTGTCACACTGTTTGGTAGCGTTCACGAGAAGATGCCAGAGACTGGAAGCATGAGGAGTGCCTTGTTCCCACATTTTGGGAGTATGTTCAGTGTGGGAGGGAATCAAGTAAGAAATGAGGAATGGGATGAAGAGAATCTTGTTGGAGAAGGTGAGGATTATCCAACAGACCGTGGTGAAGATTCAGATGATGAACTTCATTCTCCTTTGATCTCACGTCAGACAACAAGCATGGAGAAAGACATGCACTCAGGTCATGGACCTCTTTCTACCTTCAGACATGGAAGCCAAGTGCAGGGAGCTCACGGGGAAGGAGGAGCAGGTAGTTTGGGGATTGGAGGTGGATGGCAAGTGGCATGGAAATGGACTGAAAGAGAAGATGAGACAGGACAGAAAGAAGGTGGGTTTAAGAGGATTTACTTGCATCAAGAAGGCTTCCCTGGATCTAGACGTGGCTCAATTGTTTCATTGCCTGGAGGAGGTGAAGGAACAGGTGAGGCAGAGTTTGTACAAGCGTCTGCTTTGGTTAGCCAACCGGCTCTTTACTCCAAAGACCTTCTCAGAGAACATACTATTGGTCCTGCCATGGTTCATCCATCTGAAGCAGCTAAAGGGTCACTCTGGCATGATCTTCAAGATCCTGGAGTCAAACGTGCTCTATTCGTTGGAGTTGGTCTTCAGATACTTCAGCAGGTAATCTAGACTAGTTAGAGACATCTAGGCCTAGGATTTTGAACCAAACTCGCCAAACCGAACTAACCGAAATAACCTTGAGTTTATCTGAAATTTTAACAAAATTAAACCGAAATCTAACCAAAATCAAAAACTTCTGTAGAATTTCCAAAAACCAAACTAACCGAATACTGAACTTTTTTACTTCAATGAGTTTCCATTGAACCCAAGTGCCCCTTTACTCCCGTTTTGTTTGATTTAAAACGGCACAATGTTTTTGATAAAGACAACACGTAGTTGTTTTGTTTGGAATGAAAACGTCAATGTTTGTTTTTATTCAAGAGATGGCAAAATAGGAACAACCTTCCAAGAGCAAGATTATTATAATTTTCAAAATCATCAAAACTGATAACTAGTGTTACTGACTAATAGTATATGAGAATATAATGATGTGTATAAATTTTTTTTTTGAAAAAAATAATTTTAATGGTCCAAAATTAAGGTTTCAAAGTCCCCCACTCTCACAAGTGGCGAGTTAACACCACGCTCTCACAATTACTAGCTAGTATATGAGAGAATCGTTTGATTTTCAACATGTTCTCATTTTGACTTACTAAACCGGCTAATGTGCGCATAAACCGAAATTTATGGTCAAACCAACCCAAAACCGGTTTGAGAAAACACAGACCGGCATTCACTCTGAAAATTCAAATCATCGATTCGTCGTCTTCTCTTTTCACTCATTCTCCCTTCTTCCTCCTTCCTCCTCCACTGTCTCTTCTGTTTCTTTCGGAGTACTCAGCAGCAGGAAGGTTTTACTTTTCATCTCCTCGGGGAGAATAGTTTCGTTGAATGTTAAACCAAACTAACCGAAAACCAAATGAACCCGAACTAACTGCAGGCTTAGAGTAAAAAAAAAAAAAAAAAAAACTGCAAGAGACATCAATATCAGTATGTCGCATAAGATGTTTTTTTTTGGGTTTAAGATAAAGTTATGTTTGTGTACTTCCTTTTGGAAACGCAGTTCTCAGGCATCAATGGAGTTCTTTATTACACACCTCAAATCCTAGAGCAGGCAGGTGTTGGGATTCTACTATCAAACTTGGGGATTAGCTCTTCCTCATCATCTTTACTTATAAGTGCATTGACAACTTTTGTGATGTTACCTGCAATAGCTGTTGCAATGAGGCTCATGGACCTCTCTGGTCGAAGGTGATTGATTACAAACTTAAAAACTTACTTTGTTCTTTTATTCATGAAGCTAAATGTTGTGTGTTCTTTTCAGGACGTTGCTGCTCACTACGATTCCAATCTTGATAGCATCTCTAATAGTCTTAGTAATCTCGAATATAGTTCACATGAACAGCATTGTCCATGCAGTCTTATCAACAGTAAGCGTTGTTCTCTACTTTTGTTTCTTCGTGATGGGGTTTGGTCCTACTCCAAACATCCTCTGCTCAGAGATCTTCCCAACTCGAGTGCGTGGAATCTGCATCGCCATCTGCGCGCTCACGTTCTGGATATGTGACATTATAGTCACTTACAGTCTCCCTGTGCTGCTTAAATCCATTGGACTTGCTGGTGTGTTTGGAATGTATGCAATAGTCTGTTGCATCTCATGGGTCTTTGTGTACCTTAAAGTCCCTGAAACTAAAGGTATGCCACTTGAAGTCATCACTGAGTTCTTCTCTCTTGGAGCTAGACAAGCTGAAGCTGATAAAACCAACTGAGAAACTAAAAGACAGGAGGTTCAACTTTGTAATGTTACCATGTTGGTGTGGATTTGTTGTTGTTGTCTTTCTACTTTGTGCAGTAATAATCATCTCTCTGTTTCTTCTTACTCTTGTGGGGAGAAAAAAAAGTTTCAGACTCTCAATTGCAAATCTCTTTCTTATCATTTACCCAATGTTCAACAACTCCATAATCAAATAGTTAGTCGTTTTATATGAAATTATTGATTAACAATGTGTTTATACCAATTTTTTTGAACGTTTAGATAATACTCGGTTAGGTTTGAGTTGCTGTCTACACCAAAAACAATGCATTTACTATTTGCAAAATCCATAAATTAAGAATAATTCTACAAAGATAAACAAAAAGATAAAGGGAGATGCAAAGTTATTCATTTCTATAAGATTATACAATACAGCCTGAGCTTTGTCTTGCAACTTCATGTTATGCATTGCCATTAATATACATAGTTTATGTTATGCATTAATATATACATATAGACATAGTGTTAAAGTATCCCATAGACATCAAGGTTTAGTTCTTGAAGTATAAAACTTTTGTCAAAATCCCCTGTTCTTACTACTAAACGTATGAAGTATGTTGTCTGCATCTCTTCACTGCAACATCTTTGATCCCTGAAGAAGATGGCCTTGCTTGAGTGATGATTAGAGCTTGTAAGGTCTTAAGGTATGTTAGTATAGTGAAGCTTCAGTGATTGTATACTAACCAGAGTATAGTGACAATTTGTCTCCTTGGAGGTCCACGGAACTCATCGTTGATTCTATGTTCAAGAATCCATATTACTGATCCAACGATGAGGAAAAACGCTGCTGAAACAGCCCACATAGGAGGAGTAAAAGTGCGCAAGAACGCCCAAGGAGTATCATTTAGCTTTGTGACAGGAGCAACCACAACAAGCCCTGATTCTATGTATGGCTGAGTGAAATCCACAACCCTTGTCCGCTTTGTAACAATCGCTATACCATTCTCCTACCACAGCATCAAACACCTGAAAACCAAAAAAAATGAAGATAAAAATACTCAACACTGTCACACGCCAAGTCTCTAGAACTTTTGTAGAATCTCCAAAATCCAAACTAACTTTTTTACTTCAATGAATTTCCATTGAACCCAAGTGCCTCCTCACTCCGGTTTTATCTGATTTAAAACGGCACAATGTTTTTATAAAGACAACACGTAGTTGTTTTGTTTGGAATGAAAACATCTATATTTATTTTATTTCAAGAGATTGCAAAATAGGAACAACCTTCCTAGAGTAAGATTATTATAATTTTCAAAATCATCAAAATTGATAATTAGTATTACTAACTAATAGTATATGACAATATAATGATGTGTGTAAATTATTTTTTGAAAAAAAATAATTTTAATGTCCCAAATTAAGGTTTTAAAGTTCCCCACTCTCATAAATGGCGAGTGAACAACACGCTCTCACACTTACCAACTAGTATATGAGAGAATCGTTTGATTTTCGTCATGTTCTCATTTTGACTTACTAAACCGGCTAATATGCTCATAAACCGAATTTAATGGTAAAATCAATCCAAAACCGGTTTGAGAAAACACGGACCGGCATTCACTCTGAAAATTCAAATCATCGATTTCTTTCGGAGTAGTCAGCAGCACAGGAAGGTTTTACGTTTCATCTTCTTCAGCGAATCGCCTTTGATTTCCATAGTCCCTCTCCCCTTGAGGTCAATCCTCTTGGTGTTAATACATACACGTCTCAAGGCTGTGGCAATTGAGTGTGAAATGGTTGGTGGTGGTGTTGACGGGTCTACTCATCTCTGCGCATCACTTTGCATGGTCGACCAAGACGAGAATGTCATCTTTAATTTCTACTCACGAAAAGCTGTTTCTTCTTCCTCTTGTGGGGAGAAAAAAAGTTTCAGACTTTCAATTGCACATCTCTTTCTTAACATTTACCCAATCTTCAACAACTCCATAATCAATAGTTTTAGTCGCTTTATATGACATTATTGATTAAGCATGTTTTTATGCCAATTTTTTTGCATGTCCACATAGATAAACTAAAAGATAAACTGAAAGATAAAAGGGAGATGCAAAGTTATTCATTTCTATAAGATTATACAAATACAGCTTGAGCTTTGTCTTGCAACTTTATGTTATGCATTGCCATTAATATACATAGTTTATGTTATGCACTAATATATACATATAGTGTTAAAAGTGTTCCATAGACATCAAGTTTTAGTTCTTGAAGTATACAACTTTTGTCAAAATCCCCTGTTCTTACTACTAAACGTATGAAGTATGTTGTCTGCATCTCTTCACTGCAACATCTTTGATCCATGAAGAAGATCCGTCATACTGGTCATGAAGACTTTAATGAAAGATCATCGTTACGTTTACGTTTCAACTTTCTGTTGGACTCAGCTTCTTTTTCATCAAAGTAAGCTAGAAATGTCTGCAGTGTTTTAGAACTTGACCCTTCTGGTGGAGGAACTGTAGCTTCTTCCTCCTCAGGAGGCTTGTGGTGGTTACAAAAGTCACGGACTATCTTGAAGAAGTAGATAAAGAGAGCTATGAAACAAGCAATCCCACAGAGAAGGAATAGTCCCCAGAAGCTACGGAGCTTAAGCTGTTCTGGATCATCATCTGACTGTGAACCATTCACGTTACTGCAGTTGGATTTTGAAAGCCACTTGTCATGTATCTTTTGAAGCTTCCCTGTTTCTGATAGACCTAAGATGGCCGTTGACATGTCAACTGCTAATGGAGAGTCTCTTGGGAATGCCTTCAAATAAAAAAAACACAATCAAGAATGATGTTTAAACAAGAGACAAGCAGAAGACAGACACAAGGGTACTTACAAATCCCCAGCCGCTTCTTGTGAACTCTTGGCCTCTAATAGCAAACCCACAGAACTCTGAGAGGAAGAGGTCAACGTAAGGACGTTCATCCACAATCGCAGAGACAGTTCCGTTTTGAAGAGCTGTAGCGTATTCTTTTGGAGAGCCAAGTGGTACAAGTCTGGATCTAGCGATGTTCAGCTCATCAATCATGTAGTTTTCTGCATAAGAACCTATCTGATACCCAACACGTCCACTGCTGCTGATGAGTGTGTCTACTCCTTTGATCGGGGAGTTAAGCTGTTGCACTGTGAGAATCGATGTAAGACTAGCTGTGTAGCTTGAGGTGATGATCAGAACCACAAAGAGCCAGATTAGCAGCACAATACGACCCAGTGTGCTCACTGTATTCTCTCCTGCAAAGTTTGAATTGCTCCAAGATGTTTAATACATGGACTCTAATAGCTAGCAGAAGTTTTAGTATGAACTTACTGTGGGAAAAAAACATCGTTGAGAAGCTGAACCTGCATGAGAAAAATAGAGCTTGTAAGGTCTTAAGGTATGTTAGTATAGTGAAGCTTCAGTGATTGTATACTAACCAGAGTATAGTGACAATTTGTCTCCTTGGAGGTCCACGGAACTCATCGTTGATTCTATGTTCAAGAATCCATATTACCGATCCAACGATGAGGAAAAACGCTGCTGTAACAGCCCACATAGGAGGAGTAAAAGGACGTAAGAAAGCCCAAGGAGTATCATTTAGCTTAGTAACAGGAGCAACCACAACAAGCCCTGACTCTATATATGGCTGAGTAAAATCCACAATCCTTGTCCGCTTTGTAACAATCGCTATATCTCCTACCACAGCATCAAACACCTGAAAACCAAAAAAATGAAAAAAAATAACTCAACACTGTCACAAGCCAAGTCTCTAGATAAGGCCTTTTAACTCACCCCTGTAGTGACATTGTTGACAAGATCATTGTAGTTTGGGTTCTTGAGACCATCTCCAAAGAGGATGAACTCATGAGGAACCGGATAAGAAAGCAGTTTTATAGCAGCTTCAAAGACATTAATAGAATACCCATCCATTTCATTGCTTCCATTGACTCTTGACACAAAGTCCTTAAAGCTTGCTCTGTTAGGCACACCGATCCTCAATCTCCTCCCGTTGTTAGGAAACACCCATCCACGTGGCTTAACAGAACTCCCACCAGGCCAAGTCACATTATTCAAATGTTGGTTTGAGCTAGAACGGTTTGAAGGCTTGTTGTATAGTAGCTCAGGAGGTATAACAGAGAGACCAGAGTGGTTAGACCAGTACCCTATCTGCTTAAACCCGTCACCAACCACGTTTAAAATGTCGTACGCAGGCTGACTCATTGACCTGTCTGGAAGAAACTGAACCGGACCTGTAACACCAGACATCTTTGTCTTGACAATGTAATCAAGAAACTCTTGTCCTTGATCAAATATGCTCAATGCATTTAGATTCAGTGAGCCTCCCTTCAAGTGAGTTAACTTTGAGTCACTAGAGAAGGTAATGTTGGCTCCACTATCTAAAAGTCTCTTGACAGCTCTAGCAATGATCCAGACTGTATCATATGCATAGAGTCCATAAACATTTAACCCCACACTTCCATTACTCAACTTGTTCCACCGTGCCGTGAAGTCTCTCTTCTTTCTTGACTCTGGAGTGTGGATACGAAGAGTGAGCACTCCTCTAAGAGACTTACCCACCTTGGGAAGAGACAAAGGCTTAGCTGAATCTAATAAAGAAGTCAACCAAGTTGTAGCTATCCATACATATCCTTTCCCCATCATCCCAAGCCTCTTCGCTTCCTTAAAAATCATCTGACCTGTTTTAGGGAAAGTGTTCACAATGATCACACGTGACTCCATCCCTTGAATCTTAACCAACTCATTTATAATCTCATTCGGACTTGTGATCACCACGTCCAAAGGAAGCACCGCCTTGTAAGAGATCTTGCAGCGTCTTCCTTCAAGCTCGTCTCCTAGAGATGTCACACCGTTCCTGCTGTTGTCATCGTCGTTGTACAACGCAATGACGTCTGACCAACCGTAGTAAGTGATCATTTCCGCAACGGCACGCATCATGAAGAGGTCGCTGGGGGCTGTTTGAACAAAGAAAGGGAACTGTAAGGGTGAGAGACTAGGGTCTAGTGCTGTGAATGAACACATTGGTACGTTGAGCTCGTTTGCTAGGTAAGACAGAACATGAGCCATGATTGATGTCTGAGGACCAATTATAGCTACAGAATCAGTCTCCATGAATTGCAATGCTGCGATATAAAAAAATGTAAGAGTTTAGTTTTCTACAAAAACAAGAATCAGTATTAAAAGTTTTAATCTCCAACCTTTCATGATGCTGAGGAAGCCGTTACGCTTAGCATCATACATTAATATACGCAATTTAGATCCACCAAGGAAGGTGGGATCAGAGTTAACATCATCCTCTGCAGCTTTCATGGCAATATCTGCAACTTGACCATATAAAGTACTTAAACTGAATATAGCTCCAACGTTAATATCGTGAGGCCTTGAAGAAGCTCCCTCTGAAACTATCCCATCACCACTAAGAACAGTGAAACTCAACAGTACCAAAACCCAAAACATTGCTTTGGGTTAATCAGTTCCTAAAACACCAAGTTTTAATAAACAAAACAACAATTAGACATAACCTTGAGACAAAACTCCCAAAATACTTGGAAACACTAGTGAGCAAAGAGTATGATAAGGGAAAGGTAGAGACTTGTTATGAACAAAAGATAAAGGCAAAGAAGCTTTCACCGGAAGTGAAAAAGAAGTGTCACAAGGACTAAACCCTTTACCTCAAATATCCCAAATATAGAGAAGACAAAGCTTGGCAATGAACTAGTGGCAGAGATGCCAAAACCCAAATCAAGACCATCCCTATAAAAAGGAAAGATTCGTCAGGGTACAGCTAAAAAATATCTATCTGAAAGAAAGGAATAAGTAAGAGGGATAGAAGAAAATATGAAAAAGGGAAGAACGAGTGGGTATGCTTGAAGACTTGGGGTAAAGTTGCAAACTTTTTAGTGGGATTTGATTACTTTTTTATTTTTTAAGATTAGAGGCTAAGGATTTATTACACTTCCAATCAAAGTTCATGTAAGGGGCAAAGTTAGAGAAAAGGTCAAGAAGAAGGATATTACATAGACAGACTTGTAGACTAATCAACAGATAACTCGACAGCATTAGCCACTACCAGCTGATAATGAAACTCTAAACATTATGCTTTTGTTCTGTTTTGCAAGTTGACGAAGTGACCCTCTCTGTCCCCTAGAGAAAATAGGATGATAAGAATGTTAAAGAGTTATTTTTTTTATTTTACTTTTACTTGTTTTATTTGATTCCCAATAAAATTCTACCACTTACAGTTCTACATTTTGATTAAAGTAAAAGACATTAATTAAAGGTAAAATATCAATCTTTTTTATATAAGAAAAAAAACTAAAATATCATACATTTATATATGGGGAGAGTATTTAATTAAAGAAACATAGTACTACATTATGCTTTTCCTACTGGTATTCTTTTTGTTAATCATTACCTGAGTATCATTAACTAATATATAAATAAACTTTTGCAGCGTTTTTATAAAATTTATAGTATTATACTTTTGTATTAATGGATTCGGTTAAAAATTCATCATCCGATAACTCTCTCTCATACTATACTTTTACTCTATTTTAAAATTAAACCATGATCCAATGCAGTGACTTGTTTTTATTTGCTCATTTTGTTTGTTTTTATTAGTATATAAGTGATGTGTTATTATATTTGAGGTATTTGATACTACAGTTGATAAGGTCTGAGTATTTTGGACATATATTGGTTAGAGGATTGTTCCACATTTAAAACTTATTTCAACTGTTTCACATAGCCCCAAGCATGTTATACTTATTGGACTATTCTTTCATTTGTCATTTCTGTACCCACCCAAACATAAATTTATCAGATACTTTTCAGATGCTGGTCCAATAGACAAATGGTCCAGTGACAAACTAAACCTTGTTAACATAATGAGGGAGGGAGAAGTTTACATCAAGGACGCACGCAAGCACGATGAAGTAAAAAAGGGGATACACCGATACAGTGAAGAGATTCTCAAATTGACAAGAGAAAAAAAGGGAAACAAGGCATGATCAAATGTCCAATAACCAATAGTGTATAAATCATGGGAGAGTGGGGATTTTTGAATGTGGATGCTCCACCGAAATTGGGTAATGGAAGATGAAAATCCACTATTTTTTTTTCCAATGGACCTATATGCTCCTCTCGTCACCATCTATATGAAGCAATATTAAAAATATGTGTCAGTCCATGAGTTTTATGGTTAAATAGTTGACGTTTTGCATTATAAAAACTTGTTTCACACTTCACTGAAATGTGACATTATTTTTTTTTTTGATAGATATATACACAACGGATGCAATTGGAATGCTTTTTTTTTTAAAAGAAAATCTTCACGAATGTCTAATTCTCTTACATTCTTTAAAATGTCACCAGTTAAAATGGAAAGAGTACATTCTTCAAAACTTTTAGGAGATTCACTGTCAAGTATAGCTCTTGCCAAAAAAAAAAAAAAAAATCTGGCAATCCAGACTGAAATACGAATTAGTACGGTTTAGCGGTTTAAACCTAAACCGGAAACGGTTCAAAACGTAGAGACCACAAAACGATGTCGTGTTGAGCTTCATAACGTCACGTCAGGTGGCGCGCATTCTGAGAAGAATAAAAACAGTTAAAACCGTCTCAAACCGAACCGACCCGACCTTTATGTTCCATTACCTCTAGGTTTACAAGCAGATCACACTATTCATATGGTTCGAGGCTCTGCACCTTCAACACCACCTCCTGGGAGCCAAACTACTGCACCTATAGTGTTACTCGAGGGGTTGGTTCCAGTGATACCTCTTTAGGTGGTGGAAACGCTATGCCTTTGCTGCTGTTTGAGCAAGCACAACAACAATTAGCTCAAAACCTGAATATGGTTAGAGATATGATGAACGCACCAGCCATTCAGAATATTATGAACAACCCTGAACTTATGAGGACCTTTATACTGAGTAAACCTCAGATGTGTGAGCTTGTGGATCGTAATCCTGAGCTTGGCCATATACTTAATGACCCAAGCATCTTTAGGCAGAGTTTAGAAGCTGCAAGAAACCCTGAGCTTATGCGTGAGATGACTCGAAGTACTGATAAGGCGATGAGTAATATTGAAGCTACTCCTGAGGGGTTTAACATGCTTAGGCGTGTGTATGAAAATGTCCAGGAACCGTTGTTGAACGGTTCAACATTGTCAGGGAATGCTGGAAATGGTGCTGGTTCTAATCTATTTGCTGCTCTCTTTGGGAATCAGGGAGCTGTTTCTAACAATCACATGACAACCAGTGCTGAAACAGGCACATGGAATGCTGTGCCAAATACAAATCCACTTCCAAATCCTTGGGTTGCTGCAGGTGGTATGAAACTATAATCTGTTAGTATTAATCTCCTTTTACTTAGTAATTGGTGTTGTAGTTCTCACAGGTCCTTGTCATTAATGGTTAAGTAAACAACTTTCTTGTCAGCACTTTGTAATGTAATAAAGATGACTGAACAATCTGTGTTCTTACTTGACAGGCCAGACAACTACACCTGAAAGGACGAGTTCAAGTGGGGATACTAGAGCCCCTGGCCTCGGTGGTCTTGCTGGCCTTGGTGGACTGGACATGCTAGGTTGGGATCCAACGGTTGGCGCAACTCCAGATGCATAGCAAATGAACCAGTTTTTACAAAATCCAGCCATGTCACAGATGATGCAAAACTTACTTTCCAATCCACAATACATGAATCAGGTAATGCCGGGACTAATACGGTTTAGGCCTTGTTTGTTACTTGCTTTTGATTCCATGTGTTAATATCATCTTTCAATTCCAGATCATGAGTCTCAGCCCACAACTCCAAAGCTTGATGGATTCAAGTCCTCAGGTGAGGGAAATGATGCAGAATCCAGAGTTCCTTCGTATGCTTAGCTCTCCAGACACAATGCAGGTCTGTTCAGCCTCCTCACATTTGCCTCTACTGTGTTTATGCATATGGTCTCTTTACAAAAGTTTTTTTTTGGATCTTTAAGCTATTTCAATGTGATGAAGTTTCTCCAGCCTAATCTTTGTGGGATTTTTTTTGTCCGTAGCAAATGATGAGTCTGCAGCAATCAGTTTTATCTCGAAGTTGGAGTACGACCAGACAGTAAGTGAGAATTCACTTTACTGTTTATTTTGTTCTTAAAGTAACATGTCTGTTTGTATTTCGGGTGGCTTCATGTTCAAATGATGTTGTGAATAGCTAAACAGTTAAATTCGTTTGACATAGTAGTTATCACTGTTTTGGTGCTGATCAAACTTTTATGTAGGGTTCCAGGGCATGCAGGTGCCACCACAGGTCCACAGGTACTCTTGAAATTTAATAATATTAATCGTGCATCCACAATTCACAGGCCTTGTCACTTAGTGTCTGCATTATCACTCTATATGCTTTCATGGTGCTAGTCACTTCTCTGTCTGTCTTTGCATATATGTTTTCTGATAATAATTTCATCTGCAGTTAATGGATTGAGTGTTATTAATACGCAATGGAACAGATAATAACGCTGGGCTGGATTCATTGATGAATGTTTTTGGCAGTGTTGGTGCTGGCGGCGGCTTAAGTGGTGCGAACCAGTCCAATGGTGAGATTGCAGTTCTCTAGATCCGTTTCTTAGAAAATGTAATCTACACTCGAGATGGTTTTCTATTTTGAAATGTACATCTAATATATTTTGTTTTGTGGTTTCAGTATCTCCTGTGGAGCTATACGCCACACAATTGCAACAGCTAGAGGAAATGGGTTTCTTTGACAGAGCAGAGAACATTAGGGCGTTGCGTGTAACCAACGGCAACGTTAACGCTGCTGTAGAAAGACTTTTGGAGAGTATCGGCCAGTGATTAATAAGGTCTTCTTCTCACACTGTCTTAACCTCAAAAACCTTTTTCTTCAGTTCTTAAACTTCCCCTTCCAATGTATACTCTTTGACTAATTTTCTCTTTGAAAATGTTATTTGGTATGTGAATGTCGATTGTTATACTTTTTTGGTTGGATTAAAAAAAAAAAAAAAAAGGAAATTAAGTTGAACATTGTTTATAGTTGTGATGATGTTGTGTTATAACTGAAGCAGCAAAACTGACGGAAATAAGACAAAAACGTGGTTGCAAAACTGCTCTGTCCCTCTAACTGTCTTTATGTTCCTCCATAACTTCCTCTCCACGTAACCGTCTCCTTATACCTCATCTACTTAAGCAATCCTTTCTCCCACTTCTTACTTTTTTTTTGTTTGTTTCTCTTTTCTCCAATTACTTTTCTCTACGTGATCACAATGATTCACAATCAACTTCCTCCTACTTCTAACGCAATCATCCCTATCTTCCCTAACCCAAATCTCCAACTTGCTTTATCTCCAAGTTACCATCAAAGCCCTAGAAAGAAACGCACCAGAACCGTTGCGTTTCCTTCTACTTCTTCACCAAAACGAAAATACACTAAAAAGCCAGACCCAAATGCTCCCAAAATCACACGTCCATGTACCGAATGTGGCAAAAAGTTTTGGTCATGGAAAGCTCTCTTTGGTCACATGAGATGTCACCCTGAGCGTCAATGGCGTGGCATCAACCCTCCTCCTAACCACCCTGCAACCCCCACCCGGACTCTATCATCAAAACATCTAAACCAGAGATCACCAAATCTTGTCTCACTTATGTCCGAGGAAGACTATGAAGTTGCTTCTTATCTCCTAATGCTCTCTGAAGCCACGCCTTTATCATCATCAAGTAGTGGTGAGCGGTTCGAGTGTGGAGGATGCAAGAAAGTGTTTGGATCGCATCAGGCTTTAGGAGGACACAGAGCGAGTCACAAGAACGTTAAAGGATGTTTCGCAATCACAAACGTAACCAATGATCCATTAACCGTGACTACTACTTGTAGTAACCAAGGTCAGCAGCATCATAAGTGTAATATATGTTATCGAGTCTACTCCAGTGGTCAGGCTTTAAGAGGTCACATGAGATGCCACTGTTGGGAGAGGGAAAGGGAGACGATGCTCGTTGGTGCGTTCGATCTGAATGTTCCTGTAACAACAACACATGATCTTTCTACTTTGGACACATCAGCGTGTTCATTAGATCTTAGGTTAGGACTTTAATTAGTAAATGTATATCTATAGTTATAAATATATTGCATGTTTGCTTCTAATGTATGTAGGATGATGTTGTTGAATGTTGTGTTTAATGATTTGGATATATATTATGTATTTAGGATATTGGTGTATTCTTCTCTTTATATGCTTAATAAATAAATATGTTTCATTCTTCATTTTGTAATCGATGCTTATAGCAAATAATTTCGTAAAAGCTTAATTCGTATTATTCATGCCAAGTTTGAAGTTTCGTTGTTTGACGTGATCTCAAACCCACCACGATCGCACTATACAATATAATCTAATCCAAGACAACAGGTAGCTTTAACATTATATAAATTGAATTACTAGTAATCTGGAGATTCAGATGCATTATAGGTAAGCACGCGGAACTAATCACAACATGCACGAACCCTAATCCGAGACAGTTTTCAATTAATCTTCTCGAAGCTCTTAAACAAGTATTTAATCAACTGTCCTATCAACGTTATCAAACTAGTTTGACACACAACCTTCGTGAATATTCAACTACAAACTTTTTTTTTTGTAACATTTACTTATAGTTTACAGCGATGCATGTTGGTATATATAAATTCATCAAAAGTAACAACAACAAAAAGAATCTTATTCTGAGACTTTCTTAAAAAAATCTATTAAACGTATTCCGAAGAATTGCAATATTATCAAAACAAAATTCGTTATATAGTAAAAAAAACCCTTATGGCATGAATCAACGATTAATCTCAATCTCATCTCTTGATTATTTTACCGGCTCGTGCAAATCATACGCGCGTGAGAAAAACATTGTAAAATTGCTAACGTACGTATTTGATTCATTTTCATATGTCTACATCTGCATCATGTTGACAAAAAAAAAATATAACATCTGCATCATAGTATTTTATATGTTATTTTTTTGGTGCAAAGTATTTTATATGTTGTTTGAATTGTTTATGTATGTTTAAAAATGTTAGATATGAAGGCTTACGTAAGATGAAGTTGACCGATTTATCTCCTTACACGTTCTCTGCATCTTCAATAAGCATTTCTACCGTCAGAAAATGGTGCACTATGTTGAAAATTAGATTTAAAGACTAATTCGGCTAAGTATTTATTTAGTATAGGTAGAATCATTTGTCATGCATTAATGTATAGCAGTGAACTTGGAAAACGTCTTACAATTCGATTTTACCTATATAGAAAATATTTAGAGATGTTGACAATAAGCCTATTTACTGATTAATTTAAGGGAGAGTGATTTATAAAAAAAAACCATGGCTAATTAAGACTTTACACACTAACGAAATTAGTTAAGTATTATGATAACCAGACTATACCCATATGTTTTACAGAAAATCATAAAAGCATTGCGTGATTTTTAATACTGTTGACTCCCTAATACACAATAAGCTTTTTTGAAAGGGATAATACATAATAAGCTTTGTCTATGGAAATAAAACTAAGATGGCTTTTTTCAAAAAAAAAAAAAAACTAAGATGGTATTCTATTTTTGTAAATCATTATTGTAAATCAGTATTACAAATCGAATACTATTATTTATTCCATAAACAATAATTGGTGTGACTGCATAAGAAAATGTGTGATAGATATGGTGCAATTTGACGATCCATGATTGCTGATGTTTGCTGATTCTGTAATACGATGTTGTTTTATCTTCATATATCTATGTAAACGAAGTATGAATAAATCTAAATATTAATTTTGATTTACATCTACTATTTTTTTACTATACATCATGTCAGTACAAGATTTATACGGTATAGTATAATACATACTCACTAAACTGTATGGGCTATAGCCATTTGATTATGTTTGGTTATGTGGCAAGCACGTCATTATGATTTTTGAGATAAAATCAGAAATATAATTATCTATCTGAATATATTTCACCACAATTAACTAAATTCTAATCAAAATATATTCAGTGGATTCTTAAGCGGGATTAAATTATATTTTAATCCAAGCTTTACACCTAAGCAAGCTTTTTTGAAATCAGAAATTGCAAATTGTAATTACATAACAATTATCTATTTAACTTCTAGTGTGATGCCACAGGGGGTGGCGAGACAAAGAAATATTTAATCACTTGGCTTTCATTTAAAAGTCATTAGACGGCGTGACATCATCTTCCATTATCGCTGGCTTTCCTACACAATAATATTTTATTCATGTTATTTTATTATCTTTAAAACAAGCAGTACTTATGCGATAATTAGTAAAGTACTTACATACTGATTAACATTTCCCCTTAAAGATTTAGCGCCACTTGCAAATTTATGTCAACAAGTTTGCCTGTACATACACATATATACTTATACATACATGACGTTCATAGTTTTAAACTTTTAATCTATCTGTTATATAATATTAAAGTATTCCGACTAAGTCTTAACTAATAATTAAGGAGGTTAACTCATGTAATTAAGGAGTGAAACTAGTGTTGCAACAAAAGCGACATGTGTAGGGTCTGCCGGATTCAGACAAAGAATTCCAGTAAGATAATTTGGGTGCTGTTTTATTTTATTGATAAAGTAGAGAGAGCTTTCGTGCACGACAATATATTTCTTATAATTAGTATATATTAATAAAAGTATGTACGAGAGAACTTATAAGTGATCATAACACAAGGATTCCAACTGATTAATGGAGATTAAAGTAAGAGAGGTTATAGTAAATGACCATTTTATTAAGTCAGGTCTTGGATGCGGCGAGCCGGGGATCGGACGATGAGGAAGGGACGGTGGCTCCTCAGATCACTGAGAGCCGTTTGATCCTTACATTTTGGAGCAAAGTGGCTTAACTTAACCCATCTTTCTATCCTTTCGAAGCCTGGCTCTTTGGCGCTTATTATAGATTTATTCTATAATATACAATACATACTATTTTTAATGAATGTTAAATTATTGACCAAAGAAACATTTGTGCATGTGTTACTTTGAGTTTGGAAATGTATTACAATACATACTCATGATTCTCTAATGGATGATCTTTATAAATGGTAAATTGGATATTACAGGCGTGTACTACTGTTGGATGATAGATTTGCCGTATATTTGGACTTGGATCGATACATGACAATGTTAAATTCTCAAAGTACATGTTGTGATGTTGAAGTAGCAGGGAATACTTATACGTACGTACATTATAATTTATACCCAAACATAACTTTATACGTGTATGCTTAATTTACTAGAGTTCTGCGTCTTCTGATCTAGTTAGCGTTCGTGTTTCTTAAATATTTTCTGTTTACACGGTAAACAATCTCCTGTCAAGTTCTAGATTAAGTATTTACCTTCACCACACGAGTATTCCCTCACAATCGTTTTTATGTGTGTTTGTTAAAACATGATATCTTCTCCAATTTAAGTGCTCGTGTGTGTTGCCACAATTAAACGATTTCTTCTTCTTATAGTAGAAGAATCCAATGCCCATCTACCACAACAAACAAAAGAATTTTTTTTTAATATAAATTGTTTAATAGCGATATCAAAATCAAATTGTGTTTGCCCAAAACTTTGTTTAATTCTCCATGTATCATTTATCTCGTTTGAAGCAGCATATAATACAAGGATCATTTTAAAGTAACCTTAATTTGTACTTCTTTGAAGGCCTAAACATTTTACCTAGACCCGAAAACTTGTATGAATCGAACCGATCCAAAAAAACTTGTATGAGTCAAATAGAGATAATAATACCATTTTACTCATAGATTTTGGACCCGTCTTAAATTCAAGATCTGATGGAATACATGAAATATCTAAAAACTTCTAATACATAGTAAATATATATATATAGGTATTTCAGTGTAATTTTGGTATTACAGATATCTTTTAAATTTTGGGTTTGACTTTATGGGTATAGTATCGGATAAATTTTAGATTTCCAAAATATAATCAGTTTTGAGTATTATTATGTCTTTAGATCGAAGTTTAAATATTTTGAGTATTTAAATATTTTTTAGGATTTTGATATTTTCTAGCTTTTGTTCTTTCTTGGATCTTCGGATTTTTCTCGAGTTTTAAATACCCAAAACTAACTTTGAAACCTTTAGAAACTGATAAATAGCGAGTATTAACGATTCTTAGATAATTAAACCTGAACTGATAAATTCAAATTACTTTATTGGATCCTAAAATTTAATATCCGAGAGATTTGGACTTGATAAAACTGATCCGAATCCGATCTGAAGACCCAAGTGACCAAGTCTATCTAAACCCTGGTGAGTAATATTTTAGGTGTTAAGCAAAGACAGATTTTCTATGCCTAGTGGTCACATGGCTACTTTTTATCTCCAAAAGTTATTCACAAAGTCTAACCCAAAGGGGAGGGGGGGGTGGTAATAGCATAGAGAATATCACTGGGTTGTTTGCTCAAAACTCTTTCTTCATAAAATACAGATTTTTGATATTTTAAAAGTGTAGTGAAATTATTTTCGGAAAATTTACTAGATATATATACTTTTGAATACTAATAATGTAAAGGGGCACCCGTAAATATTAAATTCTTCAAACAAAATGCTGATCAAAATGTTGTTTATTGGTCTATAAAATTTTTTGTACTTTTGATTACCAGCTAAATACACTATTTCTTAGTAATTAGTTGTTGGCCACGGTAATGACGTTTGAAACTGTTTATGGTAAGGAACGACAAAGTGAAAACCCACTTCATTAATGATAAATTTTGCAAGGAAGAGCATATATATGACTTATCTTCCATTTCGACAAATAAGTTTCACATTTAACTTTCATCATAGGAGACAATTATGTGATTCAACTGACTTCGTAAGAAAATAAAATTCCACTGTGATATTTTGATATCTTATAGTATTGGTATTTCTTAAATCCTTATAGCTGCACATTACAAATTTTGCATGTCTCGTATGTTCCGTCTATTTTTTATGCAAAAGAATGTGAAATATTTCAATTCTAGGAACTTAAATGCCTGGAGAACACTACTTGTCACTGAACTTCAACAAACAGTTACAACTTACAAGTAATTTCTGAATGATTATTACTCTTTATATATACCATGAAAGATAGAAAGTACATATCTCTGTAATTTGAGAATAAGAGGTTTGGTATAAAAGATTAGTGTGAACCTCTATCATAGAAACTAAAAACTAAAATTCAACCAGTAATCAGCTAGTGAGCGAATCATTTTGTATAGTTAGAAGAAACCTACCTATTTCACTATCTTCTCCCATGAATCGGACTCACATGGAGGTCATTCAAAAGCGTGGAATTAACTTTAAGAAAAGCATTAAAGTTTAATTTTGATGAATATTATATATAACATAGTTTAACCTGTTGGTACTGAAATCAATACAAAACTTAATCTTATACAAGAAGAGCGACTAGTGGGTAATTATTTAATTTGCATCCTTGTATAAATCCTTGTGTATACATATAACATAAACATATGTGACACCATAGATATTTCTGAACCAAATTAGAGAAAGAGTAATAAAGAGCCATTATTTATGCTAAAGTGCATTTAAGAAAATTTCAAACTTTTAGCAAACAAATAAAAAACTTTAAAACTAGGGCTGAGGTCACAAAGGATTATTGTTTTTATGAGAAGTTAAAAGAAAGAATCTTGAAGGTCAAATTATTAATGAAACCTGTTCAATTTGACAGACATTGTCTGCAAGAATCTTTCTCCCTCTTTCATTGATACAGATCACAGTTTAATCAACGAAACAGAACAAAGTACACATCTGCAGCTTACGTAATCATAATTTATTATTATCTAATTGATTAAAATTTAAAAAATACTAATTTGCAAGTTTGAACGAGGCAAAAAAATCTCAACAAGAGATCACCAACTAACATTATTAAGAGAGACCAATCATAACATCTCAGCTCTTATTATAAACCACAAGATCCACAACTTCAACTTCATTTTTTTTTTTGCAGAAGAAAAACAGAGAAAATAAAGATCGTTCTGTCTTCTTTTTTTACTGCAGGTAAGAAAACAGTAGAGAGATCTAATTGGATGGTATAAAACGTGGTCCACTTTGTTCTTGTGAAAGATTCTGCACGCCCACATGGTTGAGATTAAAATAGAGTGATATAACCCTTCATCACCTACTTGTGTCCAGAAAGCAAGATAGATAAAAAAGAAGTGGTGATGATAATATCATCTATTTGAGCAAAATAATTTTTTCACAGCTTTTTATTTTTGGGTTCTCCTCAGAATCTTTTCATCATTTATGTGTGTGTTGTGTAAGAATAAACAGAGGTCAAACAACCTCTTTCTAACTGAAAACAGAGCAGACTAAATCTTTGTTTTCTGTCAGTTTATTTACTTCTTATGAGTGTTTGAAACTCAAAGTCAATTTTCTTGAAACTTTCTCTACTTTCTCAAGTAACCAATCTTGATAAATTGTAAGTGACTTTGTTTGCTTTTTCTTTCTTTTGGTGGGTTTTGTGGTTGCTAACCATTTCTGGGGTTTTGTTGGAAAGATGGCTTTGTTCTTTGGATACTTTTGTCATTGGAGCATCAGAAGATTTTCTCTCTTTTTTTTTGTTCTTTGGAAAGTGATGTCATGAAGCATTAGATTCTTAATTTATAAATTCCAGTTCTCTTTTTTTCCCTCGTCTGTGTGGCATTTACTGTCTGCTGAACATTTCATTTCATTGTCTTTAAACGGCTCAATAATTGGCCCTCTTGGAGTTTCCATGTCTATTGTGGAATATTGTACTTGAAGCTGATGTTAGTACCTTATTTCAAGTCAACTCTCTCTAGCTTTTATATATTTATAGCCTCTCTCTGTGATCTCACAACCCTCTCTTAAAGTCTATTATATACATGTTGATTTGCACCTTTGATCTTGGAGTTGACAAAGACTGAGTTTCGCTTTTATCCTTTTTTTCTTCTCTTCTCTTCCTCTTGTTTGAGTTTTGATCATGTTTCTGTAACCTTGATTGCAGATAGGTTATATAAACACATAGGAAAAGGAAGACCTTAAAGAAGCTTGTTCTTGCCTGTTCATGTAAAACAAGTCTTTGAGAAAGTTGAGAAGTTTTGTTAAGCATCTGGTGGATTCAAGACTGAGTTGAAGAAAGAAAGAAGAAATTCTTTTTATATGGAAAGTGGTGGTGGTGGTGGAGATGGTGGTTTCTTACCCAATTCTAGCTTTGGTACATTCCCTGAGACGGCTATGGATATGGATTTCATGGAAGAACTCTTCTTTGATGGATGTTGGCTTGAGACAACAGATGGTAAGAGCTTGAAGCAGACAACTGGACAACCAGCTCCTAATACTACCAACATGAATAATAACAACAACAACTCTTTCCTTTATGGCTATCAATTTGCTGAGAACCCTTCTCAGGATCATATCTCCAACGAAGATACAGGCAGAAAGTATCCTCTAACACCAGGTTTCCTCAAGATGGAAGATCTCACCAATCAGCCGATGACTCAAGTAACTTTTGACCAGTCTTCAGCTATGAGTTCAGCACAAGCAGAGAAGTTTCTCCTTGAAGAAACCGAGAGAGGTAGAAGATGGTGGATTGCTCCAAGAGCAAACCAAGGCCCTTCTTCATCTGTGAAAGATAGACTAGTACAAGCTATAAACGGTCTTAAGGTGCAGGAAAAAGACTTCCTCATACAGATATGGGTGCCAATTCAACAGGAGGGCAAGAACTTCCTTACCACTTTGGAGCAGCCACACTTCTTCAACCCAAAATACTCAAGCCTCAAAAGATACAGAGATGTCTCAGTGTCTTATAACTTCTTGGCTGATGAAGACTCCAAGGAGTCTGTAGGTCTCCCTGGCCGTGTGTTCCTTGGGAAGTTACCCGAGTGGACACCTGATGTCCGGTTCTTCAGAAGTGAAGAGTATCCACGCATCAAAGATGCACAGAGATGTGATGTCCGTGGTTCATTAGCCCTTCCTGTGTTTGAAAGTGGTAGTGGAACTTGTTTGGGTGTTGTTGAGATTGTTACAACAACTCAGAAGATGAATTACAGACCTGAACTTGAGAATATCTGTAAAGCTCTTGAGGTTTCTTTCTCTTCCTTTTCTCCCACATTCTTCAAATTTTTATAGCCTAAAGAGTGTTTCTATGTGTTTGCAGGCTGTTAATCTAAGAAGTTCAGCAAACTTGAAATCTCCAAGTAGTGAGGTGTGTCAAAATGTTACTCATAAACCAAATCATTTGTTTAATACTTTGTGTTGCTAAAATATCATATGCTCTTTGCTTTCAGTTTCTGCAAGTTTATAAACAATTCTACTGTGCTGTAATACCTGAGGTATCAGTCTTTTTGACATCAGTCTGCAGATCCTATGATCTGCCTCTGGCTTTAACGTGGGCACCGTGTGCTAGGCAAGGTAGAGGTGGATCCAGACATTCTGATGAGAACTTCTCAGAGTGTGTTTCAACTCTAGATTCTGCATGCTTTGTTCTAGACCAACAGAGTCATAACTTCCAAGAGGCATGCTCTGAACACCATCTCCTTCAAGGGGAAGGCATTGTGGGAAAAGCCTTTAAATCTACCAAACTGTTTTTTGTACCTGAAGTAACTACTTTCAGCAAAACAAACTACCCTCTTGCACACCATGCTAAGATCTCTGGCCTACATGCCGCTTTAGCAGTCCCTTTGAAAAACAAATTCAATGGTTCGGTTGAGTTTGTGTTGGAGTTTTTCTTTCCCAAAACTTGCCTTGACACTGAAGCGCAGCAAGAGATGCTCAAGTCACTGTCTGTGACACTGCAGAATGATTTCAGGAGCTTGAATCTTGTCATTGACAAAGAGCTAGAGCTTGAAGTGGTGTTTCCCGTTAGAGAGGAGCTGCTTTTCTCGGAGAATCCACTTGTTGATAAAGAGACAGGAGAGAGTCTGAAACCTCTGCCTTTGGAAGAGATCTCTCAAGAAGATTCCTCATGGATCTCACACATGATAAATGCTAACGAGAAGGGTAAAGGAGTGTCTCTATCATGGGAGTACCAGAAAGAAGAGCCAAAAGAAGAGTTCATGCTGACATCTGGCTGGGACAATGGTCACACTAGCTTTCTTGCAGATGCTGAGCAGTTTCATAAGGCTTCAAACTCAGGACTTAGACTTGACACTGATCCAAGTTTTGATTCAGCTTCCTTTGGTGTGGGGCAAACATTGTTAGGAAGTAGAAGACCAGGTGAAAAGAGAAGAACAAAGACAGAAAAGACAATAGGTTTAGAAGTTCTTAGACAATACTTTGCAGGAAGCCTCAAAGATGCAGCCAAGAGCATTGGTGGTAAGAAGAACACTTCTTGTTATCAATCATGTCTTAACTTATCAGTATATAGATATTCACAACTTTTCATCATTCTTATGTTTGCAGTTTGTCCAACCACCTTGAAAAGAATATGTAGGCAGCATGGGATAACAAGATGGCCTTCAAGGAAGATCAAGAAAGTGGGGCACTCATTAAAGAAACTCCAACTTGTGATAGACTCTGTTCAAGGTGTTCAAGGCTCTATACAACTTGACTCATTCTACACAAGTTTCCCTGAACTAAGCTCTCCACATGTATCTGGTTCTGGTACTGGTACTGGCACTTCCTTCAAGACCAATGACCAGCCAAGTCATCTGAATGCTCAAACCGAGAACGGTGTTTCAGTACAGGGAAATGGCGTGGCTCCAACCTCACCACCACCATCATCTTCTTGTAGCCACAGCTCTGGTTCAAGCACATGCTGCTCCACTGGAGCTAATCAAAGCACCAACACTGCAAACACCTCAAACACTATATCCACCCTGATGGCTGAAAATGCTGGAGCAATCTTGAAGAGAGCTCGTAGTGAGGTAAGACTTCGTACCGTGAACCAGGAGGAAACTAAGTCCCTCTCTAGAACACTTAGCCAAAGAGCATTCACTGAGCATCCTCTTTTGAGTAATCTACCTCGGTTACCAGAGAGTCGTAGCAGGAGCTTGAAAGCTGAAGGCGCATCTAAAGTCAAAGCCACGTTCGGTGAGGCCAAAGTACGGTTTACTTTGCATCCAACATCAGGATTCAGAGAGTTGCAACAAGAGATTGCTAGGCGTTTTAACATAGAATTAACTAATATTGCGACCTTTGATCTTAAATACCTGGATGATGACAAAGAATGGGTTCTTCTGACGTGTGAAGCGGATCTTGAGGAATGTATCGACATTTATAGATCATCAAAGAGCCGCACCATCAAGATTAGCGTTCATGAAGCTTCTCAAGCCAAGCTGGGTGGCTCTTTTGGTAGCACTGGTCCTGTTCCTTTGCTATAAGCATTCAGGTAAGGCTGCATGTTCCTAAAAACACAAGAACAAGAAGATGATTTTTCTACTAATTTAATAGTGTTTTAGTTACTCACCATTTTATAGACTGGGGCATCGTTTGTAAACATATTTTCAGTTTTGCAAGAAGTAGTAGTGTACTGGTTTTCTGCATCGGCTTAGCAGTTTTTTTTTGTATAATAAGGCGATTGCATACCAGGAACATGCTTATTATGTATTTTATTTTCTGTACATCATTTGTCATTTGGATTCTACTAAGCTTAGCAAGTATGTTGTATTAAAATGTTTTCTACATTTACACTTCTAATTTCCTCTTTTTGTAACTAAAACGCAGGAAACATTACACATTTTTAGTTACAAAAAAAACACATTAAAACATCTTTTAAAACACATAACATGCCTAGTCTATTTATATAGAAACACGAAACATAAACACAGATAATGATATGAACACAGGCAACAAAAAAAAAGGAGAGAAGAGAATATATACTTGTACTAGCTAGTAGTGGTCATCCAAGTTCGCATCTCTGACCTATCTTCAAACCCTTTCTCCTTTTCAAGAAACAGCAAAGCCTACAGACAAAAGGTACAAGAAAAAAGATACTGATCCTCAAATGATTTGAGTCAAATCTATCACCACCGCCTTAACAAGACATGCAAATATGCGTCTATGAAATATCACTTCATCAATTTTTGGAGGTTCTTTTTTTTTTTTGAGCAAATTGGAGGTTCTTTTTTTTGTTCTAAAATAGACTGGATTATTCCTAAGCATAATCCTATTTCAAATACTTTCACAACACATCAAACAGGTCTTCTTTATGTAAATGGAAACAATCATCAAAATCAGTCCAAAAGTTGTATACTCTAGTCTTTGGTCAACTCTTTAGGTGCTGCCAGCTCATCTAATTTATTATGGGAATATAACACTGAGGTTAAAATATTATAGGGAGCAAATGTGCAAATACACATAAAGTTATACAATAAACAGATTTCTTCCGCCTCCAAAGCTTCCAAAAGCCAAAAAAGAAAAAAAAAAAAAAAGGATCAAACTTTCACAGCTCACAAAACATGTCTCGTCGATCGCTGACTCTCCTCAAGAACCTCACCAGAAACACAAACACCTCATGTAACCAAACCCGATCCGTAACCTACATGCCCCGACCCGGCGACGGATCCCCACGCGCCGTGACTCTAATCCCCGGCGACGGGATCGGTCCCCTCGTGACCAACGCCGTCGAGCAGGTGATGGAGGCGATGCACGCGCCGATCTACTTCGAGAAGTACGACGTTCACGGAGAGATGAGCCGCGTCCCCGCGGAGGTGATGGAGTCGATAAGGAAGAACAAGGTTTGTTTGAAAGGTGGGCTGAAGACACCTGTGGGTGGAGGTGTGAGCTCGCTGAACGTGCAGCTGAGGAAGGAGCTTGATCTGTTTGCTTCGCTGGTTAATTGTTTTAACTTGCCTGGGTTGCCTACGAGGCATGAGAATGTTGATATTGTTGTGATTAGGGAGAATACGGAGGGAGAGTATGCGGGGCTGGAGCATGAGGTTGTTCCTGGTGTTGTTGAGAGTCTTAAGGTTGGTTTCGTGTTTGAAAGTTTTGGTTTTTATGGAGTTTTAGCTTTGAGAGGATCACTAGGTTGTTTCTGGTGTTGTTTGAGAGGTCTTAAGGTCGGTTTACTCATTGAAAGTTTCGATTTTTATGGAATCTTAGCTTAGAGAAGATCGCTAGGTTGTTTCTGGTGTTGTTGAGAGGTCTTAAGGTTAGTTTTCAAATTGAAAGTTTCGATTTTTATGAACTCTTAGCTTAGGCCTTAGAGAAGAAGATCACTAGGTTGTTCCTGGTGTCGTTGAGAATCGTAAAGTCAGTTTCCTCATTTCTATGGACTCTTAGCTTAGAGAACGCCACTAGGCTGTTTCTGGTGTTGTTGAGTGTCTTAAGGTTAGTTTCCTGATTGAAAGTTTCGATTTTTATGGACTTTTAGCTTAGAGAACCCCACTAGGCTGTTCCTGGTGTTGTTGAGAGTCCTTAAGGTCAGTTTCGTCATTTTAAAGTTTCGATTTTTATGGACTCTTAACTTAGAAAAACCCACTAGGTTGTTCTTGGTGTTGTTTGTGAGTGTTAAGGTTACTTTACTCAATAAAAGTTTCGCTTTTTATGGACTCTTAGCTTAGAGAATTGTTTCTAATGTTGTTGAGTGTCTTAAGGTTAGTTTCCAAATTAAAAGTTACGATTTTTATTGCCGTAGCTTCTTGAAACGATGTTGGATGAATGTTTTGGATCAGCGGAATGGTTATTTCTTTGATTTGACCTCATGATTGTTGTCTATGTTAGGTGATCACGAAGTTTTGTTCGGAGCGTATAGCAAAGTATGCGTTTGAGTATGCTTACCTGAACAACAGGAAGAAAGTGACGGCAGTGCACAAGGCTAACATTATGAAACTTGCTGATGGTTTGTTCTTGGAGTCTTGTCGAGAGGTTGCTAAAAAGTATCCAGGGATTACTTACAATGAGATTATTGTTGATAACTGCTGCATGCAACTTGTTGCGAAACCAGAGCAATTCGACGTCATGGTATGTTTATAGTTGTATTCTTAGTACTTTGTTTGTCTCTGCTGGAAATAGATTAACGAGAAAGCTTGTGTATGTAGTTAGTAAGGCTTTCTCAATTAAATAAGCAGACCCTGTTACAGATGGAGTCCTGGACTCAGATAGTGCTTTCGTCACTGCTGTTATTAACCTGTGTTTATATTATCTCTGGTTGATGTTTGCATTAAAATGTTTTGCAGGTGACACCCAATCTCTATGGTAATTTAGTTGCAAACACTGCTGCTGGTATTGCTGGAGGCACTGGAGTCATGCCTGGAGGTAATAATAGCCTGTGCTTATACTTTCTATTACGGAGATACAGTATTGGAACAGCTCTAAAATTTGTATGTATGAACATGAAAACAGGAAACGTTGGGGCTGACCATGCGGTGTTTGAGCAAGGTGCATCAGCAGGAAACGTTGGGAAAGACAAGATAGTACGAGAGAACAAAGCAAACCCAGTGGCGTTGCTTCTCTCATCAGCCATGATGCTTAGACACCTTCAGTTTCCTTCATTTGCTGACCGGCTTGAAACAGCAGTGAAAAGAGTCATCTCTGAAGGAAAGTGCCGGACTAAGGATCTTGGTGGTCAAAGCACTACTCAACAGGTCGTTGATGCCGTCATTGCAAATCTTGAGTGACCTTTGACAAAGTTGTGTGGTCCTTCCATCTGAAAAATTCATCAAAATCCCTGCTACTGTTTGCCAAAAGTATATGGGTATAATCCACGGTGTCTGGTTTTGTACCTCAGAGTTTTACATTCTTTAGACGTTAACTCGTCGAAACTCTCAAATCATATTGTTCTATTCCAAATAATTCATGTTGCTACGCATGTTTGGTTTTCTGTCTTTTCAAAATTACTATTGTCCAAGAAGTGAATGAAAGAAAACTTCATTTCTTAGTTTTTTCCTATTCATTGGCACCACCAGAGAAACTAGCGGAAGTAGAAGGGCGTGTGAATCATAACTATCATTATATGTGCGCTTTTAAGTACACAAAAGATCGGGAGAGGAGAAAGATCGAAAGTGAGTTTGTCTATTAAGGGATTCACAGTATGTAATGTATTGAAAACACAGAAAGCTAAAAGCACACCAGGTATGAGGTTGTTTTGGTCAAACAGAAAAATGAAACACCACAATGAACAAACATGATATGATCTTTACATTCACTTGTCTTCCAATCTAGCCAGGATCGACTCTGCAAAACTCTGTTGCCTGTGAATTTAAAGAAAGACGAACCATCATCAAATTTTTGTTAGAAAATTGAGCATGCACAATATATACAAATATCAACGCAAAGACTTTTTATCAGTTCAACTGAACCATTCAGTTTGTTTTTTCTGTTGATACAAGTTCGAATTGTGGATTATAAATGGCTTTGTCTAGCATCATAAAAGTCTTGAGTTCCACCCCCATCTTAGCCACAGATGGGTCTGAACTAATCTTGCTACTAGAAGTTCTCAAAGATTCATTTAGTTCCAAAGAAAAATGACAGAGAAGTTTATAGAATAACATACTTGCGTTCACTATGCTTGGAACTTGGCCTCGAATACTTCAAGTATCCATCCCAAGGGACCTTTTTGAGACCTGCCCTATGCGATATCATGCCTCTGACCCTGTGAGAAGCAAATAAAGTGGATCTTATAAATGCTACACCGACCTACTACTAAAACATAAAAGAATGTCATGCTAAGTCTTGTATCTTGTTATAAGAAATGTTATACTGTTTTTACCTCTCTGCAAACTCAATTGCTGTTTCACCAGGCCTTATTGTTTGAGGTTCCAAGTACCACACTTCACAAACAACAGCCCACGATGTCATGAGTTGCAGTAAGTGCATAGTGAATGATTGTCTGCAAAGAGCATGCAAAACCTTTTGTTATCAAGGCAAAAGAAATGTCCCCAAAAATAACTTGATGTCTTTGCAACCAGAAGAACACTTGTTACAATCGCAACTATGCTATATAAAAGTAAAAAAAAAAAAATAGTGCTATAACTAGGTAGAATCTGATAAGAAAGTCATAAAGAAAACACCCTTACTTTCTGCTGTTCCAGAATGCGTCAACAAAGATCTTGTTGTATTTGATGGCGATTGGACAAACAGTGCAGTCCAATTCAAAAGCACCCTAAACATTGTCATGAAGCGCGTCAGAAACTATAACAGAGAATAGGAGTGTGAAGCACATTACCTTCTTAAACATCACCGTGTAATTATTATTTACACACGTCCCCTCGGGAAATATGAGAAGAGGGTTATTGTCAGTTCCTAGGACATGGTCCCTTAACCTGAATGAAGTGATTCATGTTCCCATGATTAATATGAGTAGACTACGTGATGACACTTAAAAGAGGATAAGAAAAATATCATGCTTACTTTCTTGCTACAATCTCACGATCCTTTGCCTCGGAACGATTGAACCAGATACATCCTACACTCTCTAATATTGTGCTTTGCAGAAGCCCTTCATATTCAAAGAAGCAAAAGTCAACTATGGCTTTTCAAAATAATGCACAAAAGACACTTACCAACCCAGCCAGGATGCTTCTGCATTATAACTGCAAAAGCAGTCATCTGCTCCAAAACGATGAAGTCAATCATTGAAGTATGGTTGGCAACATAGACCTGTTTTAAACCCCAATGAAAAAAATTAACCATTAATATAAAACTATTAAGGAGATACAAAGTTGAGACACCAATAAATGAAAGGAAACATGACCTGCTTAGGACGGATACTAGGCCGTGGCCCGTGGTATCTAACAACTCCAGTCCATGAGGCGACAAAGAAGCTGCAAATCATTTCCACCAAGACTCTCTGGTAACAGAGTAAAACACATCACAAATTTTCAACATCGACATATCACACAATGAAGACTATATGATATAACAGAGAACTAACCCCACCTACCTCAATCTTTTTCCTCAACCTATCCTGACCTTTGAGCAGAGAATGTAGAGGGATAAAGGCTGAAAGGAAAATAATCCACCCAAAAGCTAAAGTGATGCACCTGCAGGTTTTAAACAATCAAGTCTTCAGGTCTAAACTTTGAGCTACTAAATAATAATATTAGACAGAACCAAACCAAACAAACCTCAAGGGAAAGAGGAGACAGTATCTAACAACAACACCACAGCACCACAATGGAAACAAGTAGATGTTCCAGTTCCAAGGCTCTGGAGGATTCGACTTGAAACACCTAGTGAATGAGTCCTACCAAAACAACAACAAAACAAAAAAGGAACTAACTTTATACTTCAGATGCTTAGATAAATCAAAAAAAGGTAATAACTTTGTTGTAAGTCAAACTCATTACATCAACAATGGCACCAGCAGCTTCAGTGAGCGTTGGAGAAATGTCTAACAAATCACGCCTGCAAAAATCAAATTCATCATATGCTAACAAACGTCAGATAGATACAAAGAGAGGGAGAGGAAAAAAGAGTTACAGGCGGAGCTTGCCACGTGGCTCGTTGATGGAGGAACCGGAAGGAAGGTAATCTTCGATGTTGGGATGATCAAGTTCAAGCTCGGATCTTGAAGTCACCAGCTTCCCTGCTGTACTGCTCATCTCTCTCTCTTCCGATCGCCGGAGATTGTTTTCTTTGGTGGTGAGACGAAACGATGGAAGAAGAGTCAGAGAGGCACGAACGATTTTCTCAACGCAAGCAAACGCATACCCTCACGCGCGCGCGCGTGTTTTATTTTATTTGTTAATTAGTTAATTATGTTTACCCATTAATCTTTGTGTCAACATTGCTTAATATGCCCGATGTGGGACTTCAGAGTTTCAAATGAGAGTCTCTTCCCATCAATATTAAGAGAAATTGGAACCTATAGCTACAAATCAAATTAGCTAAGTAGCCAAAATTCTCTTTTCTCTCTAAGTTTCTTCCAATGTCTTCCTATCTTTCTATTCTCTCTCTTAAAATCTAATTTCTTTTTTTAGTGGCTATTTGGCAAATAATTCCATAATATTAAGACTACCTCCATCGACAATATATTAACACAGATTTCAAAAATAAAATAAAAATTAAAATAATGAAAAATTAAGAGAGAGGAAGAGATGTTCCAAAACAACAGGTTTTCTAACTTATATACACATGTGCTAGCACTTTATTGGTTAACAAAACACTTAAAATTTTGAGACAGAAGAGAAGGATGTTTATTTCGTTTGTTACAAAAATTAATATTTATATTTTGAGCTTGCGATTTCATCTAAGAGCACCACTATTGTAATGTTTTGTAAGTTAAAGAGAATTGTTGTAAGTAATGTTAATGTAGCTTACCATATAGTGGCAGAGTTAGAAACTTTTTTAATTGAGATCAAAAATAATTAAAATTTTACATCATCTTTCGACAAAAAAAAGTGCACAACATTTCAACATGAGTGATGCATCATCTGTAGTGCATGACATCTTAAAATATTTTTAAAAACAACTGTTTAACAATCACAAAATCCCTAGAACTTTCATAAACCATGTTGATTAACTATCAAAATAATTTGAGTAAACACTCAAAACCATGTAATAACTTAACACAATTAACTTCGTAATCTTGTATTAAACTTTATCAAATGAATAGAAATGTTGACAAAAAATGACTTAACTTAAATTATCTTACCTAATTGTAAGTATATTAAATGACTTGACTTAACTTTACTGGCATCTTGTGCTCAAGATGGGGATTATTATCTATATCCTCTCGCTTTTACAGTTGTTGATGCAGAAAACGCCGCCTCGTGGAAATGGTTCTTTACGGATTTGAGGCAGATGATCCCTGAGGCTTCAGATCTTGTTTTTGTATCAGATATGGCTAACTTAATTGCTTCCGCACTGGAGGATATGTATCCATTATCTCACCATGGAATCTGTAGGATCCATCTACTCCGCAACATCACTCCTAAATATTCAAAGACTGGGTTGCTACTTCTGGTGGAAAGCGCTGCTGATGCCTACACTTGTCACGAGTTCTGGCCAATCTTCAAAGACATAAAGGAAAATGTCTTGAATTGGCTAAGTATCTGGAAGATTCGGAGTTTAGAAAGTGGGCACGATGCTTTGCGCCTGCTAACATGTACAATATCATGACTATCAACATTGCAGAGTCTCTCAATTCTATGTTGAGGCTGCCTCGTGAGTTGCCACTGATTTTTCTCCTTGAAACGGTTAGATTGTCTCTCACCACTTTGGATTTTTGAGCGACGTGAAGCGGCTGCGAAACATAAGCACCTGGTTATTTTAAAAAACAACTGTTTAACAATCACCAAATCCCTGGAGCTTTCATAAACCATGTTGATTAACTATCAAAATAATTTGAGTTAACACTCAAAACCATGTAATAGCTTAACACAATTAACTTGATAATCTTGTATTATACTTTATCAAATGAATAGAAATGTTGACAAAAAATGACTTAACTTAAATTATCTTACCTAATTGTAAGTATATTAAAAATAAAAATTAATCAATAGTTGTTTTAATATATTAAAAAGTGTAAATCTATAGAAAAAAAACTACCCAAATTAACACAGAGAAAAGAAGTATATAATTATAAATTTTAACTATAACGTCTTAGTATAGTCAATAATTTATATAAAAGAAGTGAACCCAAATATGTGATAATTAACTTTATTTTTGTGTGGTTAAAACTACTTATATGGATTTGGCTTAAAGTATAAAATATTATTTTGTAAAAGGAATAACATAGATTTCAAATTATGTAGAGATCAATAACAAATTTGTAGTGGGATCAATGCTATAGATTTTATCAAACGACTACGGATAATTAAAATTAAGTGGGGTCAACTGATTGTCTTAGTTTACATGTACCTCAGCCCCTGTTACCATGCATATGCTTTGTTACCTTGAGGAGAAACCAGCAGGTGA